AATCGAGGCTGACCCAGACGGTCGTGCGATCCCAAGGGTCCTCCACTCCGCAGAGACACCTTAAATCTTTTTCTGCAACGAACGAGCGAAATTCGCGACCGTTTCTGTATCTGTGCCCAAGTCGGTGCTTTTTATTTTGAATACCTCGGCTTGCGAGCATGGAAATGGCTTCCGCTTGCTTAGCGGTTTTGCCCGCGCGACACATAAGAGCACGCAAACTGCCCGCATCGAAGGCTGTGCATATTCACGTCTCTGTTTCCCTCCATTTCCCGTAGTCTCATCTGACGGATCGATCGAAGGAGAACGCCGATCGTTCGTTTCCTGCACTCACAGCTGTATCATCTTTTGTCCTATTTCATGCCATCGGGGCGTGACAGGAGAGGCGATTTCCCAAGAAAATTGCACGCCCCGTGGCATCTCGCACCGTTTTTTCCTGCCTACGAAGTTTGTAAAAAGTTGAGTTTTAAAATGAATAACTTATCATATTGTGACGGATAAGGATGGCATCGAGAGGCTCGACTGAATGTGCAGGTGGTGTAGTGGTAGCACACCTGACCGGCAATCGGGAGGCCCGGGTGGCCGTTCCTTGGGTTCTTTCGACCTCTCATGCCGTCCGACTCCCGAAGTCCCCTCCGTAACAATATCGTTTCGATGATGGGGCGCTTTCCAGCCGTGATCATCCGGTTCTGGGACGAGAATTCTAGAGCAGGCATGTGGTTTCAGTGGGTAGGTTCCCTAAACAGGGAGCCCGGCTTCGAAACGAAGCGATACGAAGTTTCCTCGCAATTATTCGGGAAAGGAGACTCCACAGCGTTTTCCACTCCCGCCTCTCATGTGGGACGACGAGACGAAGACGACGAGACGAAGACGACGAGACGAAGACGACGAGACGAAGACGACGAGACGAAGACGACGAGACGAAGACGACGAGACGAAGACGATGACGAAGGGTCAAGTATCCCCGGAGGAACCATGAAGCCGAATCGAGTCTCCCGGGGGATCTGGGATCATGGGGAGGAACGAGAGGCTAATCGGAATTTGATGAGATTACGAGTAGGCGGAGTTAGATGAAGGAACGATCGACTTGGAGGCCGACACGAACACGCATTTACGGGCTTCTTCAAACTCCAGCTTCTGGCTTAACGCGAATCGCATATCGTATAGAAGACCGGAATTTTTCGGAAGAGCCTGAAAACGTATATATTTTTGACCGAGTCTCATTTAGATTCGACTCGGCTTCGGTGGAGGAGATATATAGGGCGAAAACGAGAGCTATTCTTCCCAAAAATCAACACCGGGTTATAGGTAGAACCAATCTCGACCCACTCCAGCTCGTACGAAACCGAGAGGTTCCGAGCTCGTCGAGAATCTTTCGAGTGTTAGCCAAGAAAACGAAAGGAGAAATTTCCCCTTGTTGTTTCTCATAACAAGAGAATGAGGAAGGGGGAGGGGGGAGAGAAAAGAGGAGATTTGTCAATAACTCTGAACGGGGCGTGATAACATCGGCAGAGAAGGCAATAAACTTTCTCCCTCTCTCTCCGCAGCGCTTTCCATTGATCTTTCCCAGATGGGCATATTACTGGATATATGTCTCTCGTATATACCATACAGTCTCCAGCTCCCTTTCTCTTTGGATGTACGGAGTAATGGGATCACGGCTCCATCGCCCTCCAGACGATCTAGCTCCGCCGAGCCGAGACGAGCCTTCTCTCGTAAGGAGCCTCTCATACCCACATTCCTTCTCATTAATGGGGACTTGATCGTGGAGCACCCGCGAGGCACCCGCGAGGCACCCTCGACCGATGAGACGTCGAGACGGTTTCCATGTACGACGATGTCGTGACTATTGCGCGTGAAACCTGGCACGATACGTTTCTGCGAATTATTAAAGATATTTTCATGATACTTTGCGAAATATTAAATATCACGCAAAATATCATAACAATTTGATCATACCAGCAAGATGACATGAAACGCGAACCTGAACATTGTCAACAAGAGCACGACAAACAATACTTCGTCGAACGCGTGGGAGACGGTTATATTCGGCTAAACTCGGATTTCATCATTTCACCCCATTATGAAATGAGTGCACTGGACATCGGTCCCAGTTTTTTTCTCGTCTTGAGAAATGATGACACTCAGAACTGCCAGGATCGCTCTGCTTCCAGAAGATGCTGCCTTCTGGATTTCTCATCGGAATCTAATCGTCGCAGACCATCACAACGTCTCGGTCGTAGTTTGGATCGGAGATAGGAACCCTTCTGTTTCTTCCATGTCATCTTCACGATCATGTTGTTTATTTAACTAGATATGGTTGAATCGACTCACGATTATGCAAATGCGGATGATCTGAAACTTTTTTTTTAGGTCACATGAACCTGCACGAGCATGTGCACAAGATGACACAGAATGTCCTTTTAGCTCTATGTGTCGAACATGGAAATCCTGTTTTTATTTCCCCCCCCCCCCCCACCTTTCAAGTCCCTTTGTGTTGACCAAAACTTTCTATTTTAACTGAGGAGGAGCAACACTGATTTAAAAAAAAGGAGGAAGTGTGAGGCATGTTGGAACTCTTCCACATAGGATGAATGCAAAAATAAAGTTCCAAGTAGTTGCGGATTTGCAACTCTGGGACGTGTTCCTCCTAAAACCACTGGAGGCCGAGTTTTCTCCGAAAACCTTGGTCGTGCGTGGAACATGCGAAGAGACGGACGAATGCATAAAATCGGTGAAGCCATGAGTGAAACTGCTTCGGGAGTGGAACAATTCTGCCGTACTGGATTCAGTACTGCTGCTACCCATCCATGAAGAAAAAATCCAGCCTCGGATGAGAAATGCGTGCAGAAGCAATTTAGCCCTGCAAAAAGACGATACGCCATCCTGCACATCGCAAATTCGTCAGTGCCATTTCGAAGCAAAATGCTGAAAATTTGATGGAGTCCAATATGTGGCCCACGCATCGTCCAGACCCGAATCCCGTGGATTGTTTCATCCGAGGAGCCAAGGTCGGAAAGATGAATCGTCACGAGATTCCTATCCCAAAAAAAAACTTGAAATATATTATTTTCAGAGGCGAAGAATCTATTTTTCGAAGCGAGAAGTCGAGGAGTGGTGCGATCGATCGAGAGTTCCGGTTCGGCGATAATGAAAGGCGATGTACCATCTATGTCCATTAAGTCGGACCCTTCGAGGGCGTGCTACAGACAGACAAGCAGAGCTGCTGCTCGGCCTCGGCGAAACGAAAGACGAGGACCATATTCAGCGAACGAGAGGAATTCGACAGCAGCACTACTAACAAGGTTTTCGGGCGAACCACCCAAAGACTCTGGCTGGCTCACCGAGTCTCCTCGAGCTGGTACCCAGTCCATTTTTCCTGCGAACTGCTGGTTATTCGCAGTCGGGATGGTAACAATTAATTCTGTATATTTGTGAATCGGTGTTAAGTCTCTCACCTTTATTCAGTGTATGATATCTGTCTTAGGATTGTTGGTAGGGCTTTCAATGAACAGTTGGGTCATTGACCCACCCCTACTCGAGCGGTTTCCCCTCTCCCCCCCTTTTTTGTTGCTGGCATATTTATGCGATTGATTAATTCAACTTGTGTAATAGCGTGCCTGCGTTGTTTTGGGGAATAGATATGCACCATCATTCAAAGTCTCATCCTCAAAATGCTCTTGCCGAGCGAAAAGAAACAGGAATGAGATGCACCGAACGTAGCAGGGTGTAGGCACCGAGGTGCGAGGGCTGAAAGTGGCACCTCACTCTCGAGTTCTCCACCTTTTCGTAGTTCGTCGAAACAGCAGCACCGACGGATAGATGCTCGCTGTCCCTCCTCGTGTGTTGTATAAGATGACAGCCCCATGCAAGCACGAGCATTCATTCATTTATTGGAAAGCTTGATCGAGTGGTACTGCTCGTTAGGGTTCTAACAATCGGTTGAAATCTTCTCATTGATTAAATACGTATTTTCAAGTAGGTGTGTTAATGCATTACTCTTGAAGTCATAGGAGCAGCTGTCATAACCCCACCCTTTTATGGAGATAAAAAGATTACACAGAGCATTCGTGAACTCTTTCGGCCGGGACTCACCCTTTTCTTCACCCTATAGTCACGGTGAGACGTAATATATTTTATATGCTCTTTGATACCTGTATCCAAGAAGTCAAAGTTCCGAAGTGCCCTAAATACC